TTTGCTGCTGGAGAAATCCCCCGCCACCGCCGAGCGGCAGCGTGGGCTCTTCTCGTTGGCCTCTGGGGGCAGCAACCCAGCCACCCCTACTGGCTGCATCCGCCACGACGCTGCCAGGCTCCTTCTTCTTCACCGACTCCTCCACCAGGGCCGCCAATTGCGAAATCTGCCGTTGCAAACTTGCAAGCTCCGCGTCGCGGCCCTCCTGCACCGGCGGGCGGATCTGTTCTCCGCTCACAGCAGCGCGCTCTTCGTCTCCAGCAGAGCTCATCCCGATGTGGCTTCCCTCGAGGGGCAAACTCTAGAGTGTTTACGGCCTACGCCACTTATTTATCGGGTGAGACTGTTTTGGTGATATATTAACTTCACGACAGGTAGACGACCGTCCTTCACACGGACGAAAGAGGGAGTGCTCAAAGAGCGGCTCCCACAGCAAGGAGGGGCCCCGTGAATCATCGCGGTGCCCCCTACCAAAACGGTAACCTTACCAGTCTGCGTGACACAATATCATCCAGCACATGTATCCAACAACAATGTTCGCAGACCCACGAACAGGCCAGAGGGTAAATGGGTATCTTTCCGTCAGGATGCGAGAAAACGCACGGTTCGGTGAACGAAAAACGAAACGATTTCGTTCGATTATCCCACGAGGGTCGGTGATAACCCACGGGGGTGCGGTATACCGAGTGCCCCGAGTGGTTCTGGGACACTCACTGCTTCGGAGGTATCTCGCGGTTTCATCGGGAAAGGTGTCGTGTTACGTATGGCGGCATCACGTACCACACTTTTGAAACACCGTGTGTTCTGCAGTACGGCCGTGACATGTTGGGTATCTCACGTATCGGAGTTTTCGCACGGGGGTGTGCGTAGAAGGCACCCAGTCCTTGCTAGATGGTATAGACTATTGCGTAAGGCACGCATCGGGATTATAGCATCCCCTGTGCAATAAACGTTCAGGGTCGAAATGAATCATATGGATTATCGTGAAAGGCCAATGGTATTACAAATACCGGTGATATCGCACCCCCGTTGCTTCCCTCGTACCCTTACTGCATCTTATACTTTTAAGAATATAGCATCGAGCAAGTTTCCAACTCGACGGCAGGATAAGTGCCAGATGCGACGATGTCTTTGCAGATTCCCCGCCGGACGCTGTTTGATTGTTGATGTTTTTCTGTGCATTCGATATGTTCTTCATACGCTCGCGACCCAGCATCATCCACTGACTGACAGTATGTACGTCAGTTCAAAGCGGTCGACCTTCCGACATTGCATCGGACTGCTGTTGAACGGTATCGACATGCTGGAGTTGCGCCGTTCTCACCCGCAACGCCGGGCGCGCGTCTCGGTGCTACCGGCTGCATGGGCGGTGTATGGTGAAATATCAAAACGCAGGAGTAAGAAAAGCTGCAATGCAAAAGACGCTATTATTAGATATATTGGGGGTACTCGTAGCATAGTATGACGGTTGAGATGAGTGATGAGATGCGGAGGGATAGGAACTTTCTACATATATTCCTTGGTTGCGAGAGGTATTTGGTGGAGATTCAGAGAGATTCGTTGAGTGACAAAGAGTGAAGGCGTGCCCAGATACCGTGAAGGTTTGACAAGCACTGGCACGCCCCCGATGAATACAATACTTTTACAATCCTTTTCGATACGTTTTCCACACGTTTCTACCCATCCACGCTCCGCCATGAGCCACCCGCTTTGAGCTCCAAGCACAAAGAACCGAGCCACCCGAATTATCGATCAGATTAACATCGACCAAGGCGATCCTGACGGCTGGACCTCTCGAATGGTAGCATCCCAGAGAGGCTTTACGCTCATCGTGAGGATTCTGCTGAAGGAGGGGGCCAACGTGTTGATAGTGGCTGACCTTGGCTTTACGGCTCTACTCGCTTGCGCCCAGTACGGCAAGCTAGCTGTTTGCAAGATGCTCGTGAACGCCGGTGCCGAACTGGAAGCGGCGACCTCTTCAAATGGCTCTAGGCCACGTCACCTAGCTGCGGACATCGGGCACGCCGCAGTCATTAAGGCACTGAGGCAGGCGCCAATCTCGACAGCCGCAGGTTCGATAGAGCGACCCCACTGTACATGGCGTGTGAGCGAGGCCATGTGGAAGCGGTCCGGGCTTTCCTTCGTGCAAAAGCGAACTCGCTGTTGATACGACTGAACGCTTCGCGGGATAGCTTTGTCCCATTGGACGCGGCGGCGGGGAAAGGGCGTTCCCTGGTGGTACGCGAGCTTTTAGGTCAGCTTGGGATCGACGGCTGTGGTGGTCCTAGTAGGGGCCCACATGCTCTGTATCACGCCGCCAAGGAACAGTTTGTAGACACCATGGCCGTTTTGGCTACTGCTGGAATGGTCGACACGGGTATCGCCCTTATCGGCGCGATCAAGGAAAATCTGGAAGGGTCGATCAAATTCCTCTTGCGGCAGAGCAGCTGCAAGGGAAACCCACCGGTGCCTACGTAGACGAAGCGCGCGACCCTTTCGGCAGAACACCACTACTATGCAGCATTGAAGATGAAGGTGGCAGATGGTGCTTTCCCAGGATCGTGCGGATGATTGTTGACGCCGTCGCGGACACAACATCGGCGGTTCGAGTGTTGAAACTTGGGCTTTTACCCGTGAAAGAAACCCCCCTAGGGCTCGTGAACCACTGAATCGGTGAGAACAGGGTCATAGGAAGGGACATCACAGAAGGGCAGGCCCACAAGCTGAGCGCCGTCCACCGTTTGCTGCTGAGGGTTGAGGCACTTCACGCAGCCTCTTGGCTGTGGGTAAGCGATGCCCCAGATATCGCTCATACTGCAGAGGTTACAAAGAGGACCAAGGTGATTCCGCCCGCGCGCAGCAGGATGCTGCCGGTTCTAGGATTGAGCACAAGACGCAACGCCCTTCTGTCGGCCGTGCTCAGGTGGGCAGGACGTATTGGTTCAGGGCCGGAACTATTGCGCTTATCTGTTGGGTATGTTGAATAGATCTAATGGACAGTAGTTCATTGAAAGGTTGATGGGCACTCAAACAGTAGTCCGGAACCTATCGATGCGTCTAGATCAGTCTTGCGGGGGTTCCAACTGAGAAGTTGCCCGGGGGGCGTCCGTCGCGTAGAATTCGACAGATAAGCACCTCGACAAGGAGTAATCATATCCATACCAGGAATCCACCAGATTGCGGTAGCAGTCCCTTGTCACATTGACATTCCTTGGTATAGGCGTGGCTTTCTGCCGCGACAATCACCATGACAATACCCTGGCTGTTTGTCGCGGTGCCAACTTGACGTGTGACATGGTACGTTTGCGGCAAGGTACTCTGGCCCCCTCGTTTCTCTACATCGTTGATACCGCTTCAGTCCTGTTTGTATTGATGTAGACTGGCTACCATCCTGCCACCTCGAATCCCGTTCTGTGCATATGCGATTTCTAGTGGGTGTGTCGACGAAACAGTGAAGAAATGTCTTGTTTTACCTCTAGAAGCTATTTTGGTTGCTACTGCCACACAAAGGATATAGCCATTTTTTTCCTGCCGACTCCACACCGACCGGCGGCCAAGAAGTCGGTCTGATTATTGACCTCGGCAGGCGTCCGCGTCATTGAGGATGTTTGAAGGTACTGAGCAGAGCCCGGAAGGGTTGTTATGGTTGAAGCAACAACAAACAACATTAGCGACATTGCTCTTGACGCTCTCACATGTGTCTTTTACAGGTATTCATCAAAGACCTGAACTCCCCCGAGCGGGTGAGAGCCCCTTTTCGCCAGTCTACCGGCTTGCTCCATGGGCTGGCGCTTCGGGCATTGCTCCCCCCGGGCATGCACGGAAGATGAGTTGGGCAGTGAAGGAGGCACGACATTATGCGGCGGATGGCACATCCAGCACACGAGAGTTGCGAAGCGGTTCCGACGGTGGTGCGTGCGCCACAATGACGGGTCACTGTGGTGTTTTTTATCTCAATGTTATTGGTGTTTTTTTTCGTTTGTTTTTTGTAGATGACTACTGTAGCTGGACGCACAGGGTGCTCGATACGCATGCTGGTTGCGTTTCAATGTACAAGTCTTAGGCCTCGCTTGATTGAATTTCCCTCCGTCACGCACCAAGGTGGCCATTGCTATGAAGAATGTACCCGAAAAAAGTGTTGTTGACGGTAGTTAAAAAAATTAGATTCGGAAGAGTTCACTGGTACGGCACTGCGTTCTCGTTGTCGTTGTATTACGTTAAATCACTTGACCGTCCAAGCAGTTCTGGTTTCGTGGCTGATTGGTCGTTCGAAGCGTTGCGGCAAACGCACCGCTCGTGTTCGTGCATTCTGACAATAATATAGAAAAGCTGTTCGTGTGTTTGGATACGGACAGGTATTGATCGACCGCAGTAACGGATATATTCGCAGATAGGAACGTAGACATACCATTTTGGGGTTCTTGTGTTTGTGACCCCTGCTTCTCTGTTTTCCGGAAGCACTCTTCTTCT